TAGCTGTTCCTACATTATTATGGAGAAAGTTCGAAGGGTGTACGATTGGTGTGTTGCATTGCCCGAGGCCATGTCGCGTTTAAAGGCCCCCTGCTGCATTAGCCGATGGATTTCGTGCTCAAGTTGCCTCTTGGCGGCCGCGACTATTTGTGCGGGCATGTGTTCGTTGGGAAGTCAGGCAAGGTCTATCGGGTCAGCAAGTCGCGGACAGCTGCCTCTGACGATATATGACGTTGGGACAGCGGGCATTGAACAAGGAAGGGGGAAAGCATTACTGGCTGTCCGCCACAGCTCCCCACCAGACACAGAACGAAGTGAATATGTCGAACGTGAGGTGCAGGATGAAATGAGGGAGATGATCCAGTGCCCATGCAGATTGAGAATGTTTATCGTGTATGACAGTAGTTGCTCGTGCTGATGGTCAGGATGATAATTGCGACCTGTGCTGAGATGCGTTTGTGGCCTCAGGCGGAGGATGTGCTGACGTGACCTCGACAACGTGTGTCACTGAGCCGGCACGTTGGTAGGAGAAAAAGCCATTTCGGACACAATGTACCCCAGTAAGAACTGAGTCGGACGAATGCGTCAGTGAAGTAGGCTCACTGTCGTTCAGACAAAATAAGAAAAGAGTGGATCGTTGAAATTTTGAAAATGCATCGATACATGTGCGTTATGATAATGATTGCATGAAAAATAACTCACGGATGACGTCTCGTTGGTAATGGGTGGAAGAATGACTCGTACACAGGAGAGATGTTACGTGATAAAAAAATCTTTGGATGAATGCTCTAATTAAACTGCTTAAAGATCGACCTGAACTTGTCAGGCTGAGTTTTGTTGGAAAACGTCAATTTAGATTCGCGACAGGGTGTCGGCAAACGTGCTCTCCCATTCGTGGACACTATGAGTGACGCAGGGAAGACAGTACGGTGAATTCGAGCTAGAATTTCGTAAAGAGTTTGCTCAACTATATCAGATGATGGCTGCGTGATTGGATCACGTCAGGGTCACCAACTTGTTGAGGCTAAGGATGAATGCTTTACTTTAATCACAACCACGAAGATTGTTCCGTCTAATGGAAGAAGGCCACCGATTAGTGAGAACGATTTATTTGTTAAACAAGGGAGGTTGCCATGAGTTGTCTCTTTGAGGAGTGTGTGAACAACGCGACCGTATGGGAGTGTGCAAGCAGCGGAGTGATATTTACATGTTTGTTTTTGGTCGTGTCAGTATGCGGGAGTGACCGTTGGGTGTGTAGTATAAGAAGTAGTCCGGCCGGATAATAGATGATAGAATGGATGCCAATGACTATAAACTAGTAGATATGATAAGGCGTGGAAGGCCAGAGCGTTATGGATAATATAATTAAATGCAGAAGTAGTAGAATGTGAGCAATAGATAATTGACTCCCAGACGAGTGAAGTCCAACCATGAGCGGGCCGAATCCAGAGTCGCACTCCGATGGGTGCAGTCGCCAGGTCCGGACGTCTGCAACCGAGCGTGAGGAAGTCAGCTCCGGGAGTGTCTGAGCCTAAGCGGTCACCACACTAGGGTTCTTTGTGAACTGACCTTGGGAAGTGGTTGGCCAGTAAGGCCAGACAGAGGGTGACCTTGAACGGGGGTGTTTGAAATCGTCTGGTGCGCGTGCGTGGTGGACACGCGAGCCAGACATGTGGCCTGTCCCAGCGACGTGTGAGGTAAGCGTGACCTAGAATACGAGGTCGCTATAATCGCTGTGATTGGTTAGGTCAAAGGGACAGAAACAAGGCGGGTTTGCCGATGCGCGTATAATAGTGTTGCCTGCAAGCGTGACGGTGAATAAGCTGGGTTTGTCGTGCTTTGGTGGAGCGCCTATTAGTCAGCGGGATTGTCTCGTCCATCGGGATGTCGGAGAATGGGGACACTGACATCAGTCTCACTCTTGCGTGAGTGCAGGCCACCGCACTATAGTTCCTGATTTCCCCATAACCATTTCTTGCTCGCTCATCCATATCAGTGGCCATTTGTCAATGCATCCCCGTTGACAATAAGGTAAAAGCCGATCGCCGAAAAGGGCCATTGATTAAACTGAGTTTTCTGACGAGTTCCGGAGTCCGTTTACAGAGCTGTGAGGAAAACAATCAAGCGTACATTTAAGACTAGAAAGTTTTCAACTAGCTCCTAGTTGAAACTTCGAGTGATTGCGTGAAAGTCCGCGTCTTAGGTTGGATGTAAGTCGACCTTTAATTTTGTAGAGTTTAGATCTGGTTGTCGCGCGTCAATCACCCCGTCAGCCTGATGACTTCGAGGATTCACACGAAAACTAATGGATAGTTATTTTTCGCCTCCCCCCCTCCCCCACCACGGCTGTTTAGAATGAGCATCCCCGCGGCAAACATTGAAAAAACAAGAACAAATGGTTTTTGAAAATAAATGAATCAATTTTTAAATCAATATACCATTCACGTGCATAGATACAAGCAGCCAAGCAATGCGAAATATGTTCCGCAAAAACTGAAAAAGTGGAACAGCCTCCACCTCTCAGTATGCATGATTGGCGACGAACAGAGACTGTCCTCCAGCGGCCGTCTCTAATGTTCCCTCGAATTTTCCCAGTGCTGCCAGACCGTTGGCCTAGGAGTTGAAAAGTAGGGAGATAAATGCAGTAACCATCAACGGCACATGTTAAAAAGAAAGACAATGTCTTAATTATTAGTAGCTTACATTAGCCAATTTCAAAAGCTCGTTCTGGGCAGCCTGAGTATTTTCTTTCTTGCCCTGCCAGATCTTGATAACAGAGGCCTGGAGAGCTCTTCCGAAGCTGAAGGTTAGTGCCCAGGGCTTCTTGCCCGGCAAAGCATTGATAGCATTCAGGTTGTAGGTTGCGTCTGCTTCCGACATACCTCCGGACAAAAAGACGATACCTAAAAGACAGAAAGCTCGTTGACCGGTTCAAAAAGATTATTTAAAGAAGAGTGGTGATTTTCTTACCCGGTACAGCAGCCGGTACACGTCTTTGAAGACATTGGACTGTCGCGAGAGCATTCTGCTCCTTAGAGAACTTTTGGCTGCATGAATGGCCGGCGGTGATCATGTTCGGCTTTAGAAGCGTGCCCTCAAGGTACACGTGATGATCCGCTAATGCCTTGTACTGCCAAGCCAGAACCTCTTCCGTGACACGCTGAGCAACGTATAGGTCGTGAGTTCCATCGGGCAAGACCTCCGGTTCCACAATAGGAACGATTCCGTTCTAAAGTAGAAGTTTGGAAGGGATTTTGACTTGCCTGTTGACAGATCACAGCATACCTCGCCAAAACGTTGGCGTTCTCCATCATGGCCTGATATGATGGGGTCCTGTCAGTAATCTTCAATACACATCGCCATTTGGCAAAGTGACAGCCATCCTTCTTGTACTGAGCGCACCTCTCACTCAGGCCATCCAGACCCTGAGTTGTTCCCTCATCCCAGGTGCCAGCTAGAGGCACAACACCTTTATCGACTTTGATTCCGGGGATAATACCACGATCCTACAAAAGGACGTCATTAAACCCCAATAAATCATATCCCGTAATATGGCTATTAAATTATTTTCATGGTTGCTGCGCTAAAAAGCTACAAATGCGTAATTCAACTCAATAAAGGTATTCAGCAAAACGTTAGGTTACTTACTTGAAGCAGTTTAATGAGGGGAGTTCCATCGTCTGTTTTTTGGTAGACAGTGTCGTGGAAGAGGATAACTCCGGAAATATGCTTGGCTAGGCAGGGGTCGGTACTAAAAAGGAGCTGTCTGTAAAGCCGCCGGTTTTCTTCTGTATTTTCCAAGTTAATGCTTTTGAAACGTTTTCCAATGGTTGCTAAAGGGAGCGGAATTCATCGACTTCCGTAAATCCTGACTTACAAACACTCTCATCAGCAGCCAAGATGCCTTTGCCAGGGGCAACGATCGCATTGGCGATATCCCGGAGTTCTTTCTGTTTGGCTTCGGAAAGGTATTCAGCAAATCGCCCTGACATGTCTGCGGATCCGATGCAACGCCTAACAGGCAGCCGACTCTTTTGAAATGGGCACTATATCGATCAAGCCAATCCAACCAATAAGCGTGGAGCAGCAGCTTTAGACTTGATTGGCAAAACTTCCATGTGCGCCCTTGCTTGTGTAACCAACTCCTATGTATGCCTTGTTGAAGGAGATAAA